TGCTGCAGCACACTCTTGAAACATTGTCATCCTGGCTTCATAGAGATGCTTGTCTTTAGCCAGTATTTTGGCTACTTGGTCCTGGCACTTTGAGGAAGAGACCTTGTTCCCTGTATCGCCTCCAATGGCTTGGTCTGTAGAGATTTCGTTTGATTGAGGTACTTCCATATCAATGATGCTGCTAGTATTAATATTTCGGGATTTTCCTTTCAGAGGGGAAACAATGGTGAAGTCAGCCTCAGAGACTTGTGACGGGCTGCTGTTGATGTCGTCGAGCAGTGCCTGGCGGAGCTTGCTTGGGGTTGCCGGGCCATATGTTCTTTTAGGGACCGGGGATTTGAGCACGCCGCCAGTAGTCGTCTTTGGGACGGCCACTGGCGTATTTGGGGGCCTATCGTGAAGGGGTGCCATCCAGCTTGTGAGAAAAATTTTCTGCGCCTTGGCAAGGATAGTCAGGTACTGAAATAAATGCCTGTTTTAGTGCAGATATAGAGGTTGCGCCCTAACAGCGGGGCGCCAAGAAAAATAGTTGTTTTTGGTAAGAGTGTGATTGCACGGGACAATGAGATCACCCACGTGGTCTCTGGATTGGAATCAACCATGTTCTTTGAGAGTATGCACCTTAAAGGTCTGTCGCCTGTTTGGGCTTTAACTTTATCAGTGAGGCCGTATAGCGCAATGGTCAAATGCGCCTGGTTGTGTTCTCATTTATGCGGTGGGCGATGAGAACAAGTGGGTTCGAATCCTGCTATGGCCCCCTTCTGACCTGGCTTGTGCGAGTCGACAACCAGCACATGACAGTGGAGAGGCCCCTTATCGCAGAGCCCGATAGCCAAGCAGCTTGTCTCCATAACACCCACTCCTGTGAGGTTTTCCCCTTGTGGTTTCCCTCGCCAGCAGATAACAAATACCTACTTCACCCACCAATGCGACATATATCGAACGGCTACTGGAACAATGTGTACACCAGAGGACTGAGGTTCACTGGGTCGCTTTGTCACTGGATAGGAGATTTTTCTGACAGAATCGTGCTTGGGTATTGACTAAAACCATCTGGTCACTCCAGATTGGTACCGCTACAGCGAGGATAGGCTCGTGCGCGGATCTGAATGTATCTAGACTGACACCTCTACAACCTTGCGATGCAATGGCTCTGGGAGGCGTGGTTTGCCCTATGGAGGGACTGCACCCACGATAAATACAATCATCATCATCATCAACTTTATCAGTGACAACAGTGTTGGTAATGTCGATTGTCAACCCTTCCGCACTGATGACCTTCCTTGGGCATCCGTTGACCTTGTAGTGATACCAGATCGTGTGGGTCTCGATCTTTTGTGCCTTGAGAATGTCAGTGATTTCTTTTTGGAAGGCCAAGAGCTTAGCCTGAGTTGGCTTGTCCCTTGGGTGTAAGGTAAATCCGGAGGGGCACCGCGTCACCTCTCTAAGCTCCTGGGGATGGAGCTTAAGTCTTTTGTTCAGTATAGACTTTATCCCATAAGGCTCTAAATGGCTATTGTCCATACGGACAAAGACCCGGAGATCGTCCTGCTTCTTCTTCAGTTGGTTGGTAGCGGTGAGGGCACCAGGCTGTGTTTTCTTCATAGTGGTGTTGACTGTCAGTGGATACTGTCGGTGGCTAGAAGAGACAGCTTGGGCGAAAGTCATGGTGGGCTTCCCCATCCCCCCGGAAGTGGTCTTCCTTATGGTCGAATCTCGGGTTTCTAGCCACTCGCGGGCATTAGAGAAAAAAGCGCTGAACTCCTTGGCATGAGAGTATAATTCGGTTCCAGCTTTCTCGAGTGTCTTGTTAACTGCTGTAGCAGACTCCTGAAATATTGTTATCCTGACTTCATAAAAGTGCTTGTCTTTACTCAGTATCTTGGCAACTTGGTCCTGGCACTCTGAGGAGGAGGCTTTATTCCCTGCATCACATCCGATGGCTTGGTCTGTAGAGATTTCGTTTGATCGAGGTCCTTTCATATTAGTGGTGCTGCCATTATTAATATTTCAGGATTTTCCTTTCAGAGGGGAAACAATAGTGAAGTCAGCCTCAGAGACCTGTGACGGGCTGTTGCTGATGTCGTCGAGCAGCGCCTGGCGGAGCCTGCTTGGAGTTGCCGGGCCGTATGTCTTTTTAGGGGCCGGGGACTTGAGCACGCCGCCGGTAGTCGTCTTCGGGACGGCCACGGGCATATTTGGGGGCCCGTCGTGAAGGGGTGCCATCCGGCTTGTGAGAAAAAAAAAATTTTGTTGCGCCTTGACGTGATGGTTTATGTAGAAAGCCAGAAGGGTATAGCCCAGTAGTGCGCAAGTGCTCTACTGTGGTGAAGAGTTTACATCAGCAGGGAATAGACCTGTCGGCCTTGTTGAAGTGGTGTCGTGTATATGGCAACACATAAAAATCTTTTTGCGGCGTTGGGCTCTGAAATATAGCCCATAGAAGACTCGTTCCATCAATCTTGGATGGTCTTGAGTATAGTCTGAGTTTTCTAGCAGCATTCTGTTGAGACCATATCATCCTCTGGCCTTGTATCATAGTCCGGCCTTGAGCTCTTCAGATTGACCGGCAATGATCCTGCAGGGATATATCATAGGTCAATAGAATGACTCAGGTATGACTCCGGCATGAGCCAGTCACTCATCATGTTTCATGCTTAAGGTTCCTAGACACGATTAGTCTACTTTTCATCTGAAATGGTGGGTGCTTCTCACTGAGGGTTCGATGACCCCTTACGATTTGCTATTTGTGGTGCGCAAGCAGACAAATGGATCATTTGAAGCCTGCCGCTTGCTGTGTCCATACTGAAATGCTAAGCGACATTCATGACTGACGCAGAAGCCTTGCTGTAGCTGAAATCCGACTCCTGCCATCATGCTTTCCTTTGGAAACCCCTTGTCCGTTACTGTTGGGACTGACCAGACACGGCTTTCAGACCCTCAGAGACCTCATCAACACCCGCCTCCGCGATCAACAACCTAGTCGCGGTCCTCTTCTCCGTTGCTATGCTCTCTGCACATGTACACGGGGCATTTGGAGCTGATGAATGGATCACGTGAGCACCCCGAGTTCAAATAGGCGTTGTCAGAAGGCGAGAAGGCTAACCATAGGGGGGGGTATAGATGTATGTTGTTCTGCAGAGGGCTACCATACTATTCAGGCCTGGGGGCCATGTATATGTACATGAATGGGAACAAAGGAACCCAGGAGTGCTTCCTGACAGGCGTGTCTAGGTGTCCTGTGTCACCGGTTCCCCGACGTTACCGGTGACGTGTGTAGTCGATTGCCCAGGATGTAGAATTACGCAACTCACTCTTCGAATTGTGCATCTTGACACATACGGTAGGTGCAAATAGGCTTCATGTTCTCTCAGCTGCGATTCTAGCATTACACACAAATGCACGGACGGCTTTGGGTCTACTGGACATCATATTCTGGCTGAGTGGAGAAACGAATGTCCATTTTCAAGTTCTAGTCTGAATCGATTGCTAATCAACCTACTGTCTCCGATGATGTGTAAAGAGTGCCTGCGCCGCAGTGGTGTGTCCCCAAGTCCCTGAGGGCAACCTTCCGAAAACCGCTAACAAAAGAAATTCCTCTGCTATCATCACCACGTCTCTTGGTGGATCTTCCATCCCTTCCGTCCATTTACGCGAGCGAAGGAGAGTTGGGTATAAACCAATGGATCTGCATCTTGTCAGCTTGGCTGCATGTGACGGTATTCGCAGTGCTCTGACCTCCAACCTCGTGGCTCATTGCGACGCTTGGTGTTCTTATCGGTTCTGAACTGATCGCTTCAATTCACCCACCATACGTTGACAATAATGACACACGTACAGTTCCCGTAATTCCGGCCCGGACTCGAATGTCACGCGGGCACCACTCTCACGTGCATGGGAGCAGGAATGGGGGTGGGAGATTGTAGCCTCTGTATGGATTCTTCGAAACAGCAAACCCTGCCGGGCTGGAATTGACGGTTGTCAAGGGTAGGAATCGGGCAGCTCTCGACACTAACTATGTCTCGTGGTTCGAATAGAAAGTTTGTTCCCTGACTTTGAAGGCTAAGAAAGGTTTCGACCATAGCTTTATCTTGGGCCAAAAGAAAATCGCGCCCCTCTTCTGGGAGGCGACTGAGGTCTTGTGGTGGGTTATCCATGGTTAAAGGCCTATGAGTGTCTTCTAGCCTGTGGAATAGTAAGGTGAGAAGGATTCTTGAATTTCTCAGAAAACGTTCTTCTGGGGACACGGAAAGATGATCGACGTGGTATAGGTATGTATGGTGTGGGACCTTGAGCGAAGAAGATGGTGAATTATTCTTCTGAGGAGAAACCAGTAGGACCAGGCCAAACGCTCCCTTTATACACATACGCAGCAGTATGCTAGACTGGGTGTAACCATGTTGGGTTTCATCGATACGTCCAACACAGGGGCGACATCTCATGGGACCTCTGTCACGCGACGCTTTTTCGGCTGTTGAAACGCGGATGTTGGTGGCGATGCGACCGCTCGGCTCGATCACTGTTCTTCGTTCGAGACTGACCAACATAACGGGCCCAACTAGCACTACGCGTGACGTTGGCTCACCAGAATGGGAACCACGTAGCGCCGCTTCAGTCGAACATCAAGATAACTGAAAGGTAGCAGCGGGGCAAGACCATGACGACGCTATTCAGAAGCTACGAAGTTCCGGGTACGAAGGTCACCTGAGAGTCTTTTAGGGCGGGTCATGGAGGATTCGTGAATGTATAGCTACAAAATATCGAATTGGAATGCACACCAATCCCATCACAACGCACCCCGATCAGCCCGGGATCTGCCCATGTTCAAAAGACCCCATGTATCAAACGGAACCTGTACATCGAAGACTCAAGCAAGTATTGTTCTAAAGAATGCCTGCAGTGCAGTGATATGGATGTGCTCCTTATCTACCCCGGCATAACAAGTCACCACCACGATGAGCGCCTCCCCCCAGGTTGCCTAACACTCCATTCCAGCACCTTCAGCTTGGCCGGGTATCTCCATAGCTGGCACAGCAACCAAAAGCGCACTGCCACTCTCCCGTTCGTTCATTCGATGCAGCACGGTTCTCGGCGCCGTCGGGCAGATTATCGTCACGGTCTCTACGCTGTCGGGTTCGCCGTGATCCAGGTGATTCGTGACCCTCCCCTGAAGCCTCGGCTACGGGAGACACCACCACAAATACCTCGTCCTCGTCCTCGTCCTCGTCCTCATCCCCAGACTGTGAGCGCTTGCGTTTGTGATCGGGACGGTCGAAGGGGTTGGAGTCATCGAGGTCAAGGGGGGTGATGGACTCTTCCTTCACAACCGCATCTTCTTCATTTGGCTCTGCGGTGTCATCGAACGGGTCGTCTGGTTGTTCTCCGGGGTAGACCCTTGACTAAAATGATCACCGGTGTCACTGTCGGTGAAGCCGACACCATGTTCGGTGCCGGCGTCGATATCGGGGTATGCGGGCGCAGCGACGGGGGAGTCAGTGGTCGAGTCAGGGGGGGTGGGCGAGACAGGGGGAGTGGGCAGACCATTGGCAAGCCCGTAACCGCCCTCGAGACTAGGGTCGATGTTGGAGTCGATGTTGGGGTCGAACTCGCGCGCTTGAAAATTCTGTTGCGGGCCGTTGATATTCTGAACCCTGTAGACGATCTCGGTGACTGCTTCCCAATCATCGAGGCGTCGCTTAACTTCTCTGGATGAACCGTCCACCAGGGCGATCTCCCTTGTGCCGGTAACGGCGATGTCAATGCCCATGCTGTAGGTGTGCCGGTGTAGGCCTAAAAATAGGACTGGTAATGAATGGTGATAGAGCTGTTGTAGTGTGAGGAGGGACTATACGATACTGTGTCGCGTTGATGAGGCCCGGTGGCGGCGTATTTAAAGTCGTTGCGAGATGTGTGTGTCAAAGCGGGCTGACTGGCGGACTTGAATGGTACCCAAGCTGCTTGCTCTACGAAGGGTATCTCGGGTATATATGTGTGACGGTCTGATACCTCTTGCTTGCCCTAGCGAGAGGTGCGAACGATATCCGGTCATCCGCTGTCATCTGAGCTGCCTTGGTGCAACGGGTGCTGGACGCAGTGGTCATGCGACACGATTCATGCACTTGATCCTTTATTTGGTACAATATGTTGGCGTTCCATGTTCGCTGGTGTAATCGCATGGCCAAGTTGGGTGCACTGGACGGGATCCTCTCTTTGTTCGCGAGTTCGCGAGACCAACCAACACCCCCAAGCCTCGAGACCGACCACCAACAGCGGGGCATGGGGAACAAAGAACACAGTTGGACTGTGTAAACTCGGTTATGACAATGAAACATGACATGGCACACAAATAACCACAGTCTCTGGCTCACGCGGTAGCACGATGTCAGAATGAAGAGTCATTCCCATTCTATCGCTCAACCGCCCTCCACAAGTAGCGCAACTTGCGCTACAACCCTCCCACTCGATCAGTCACGATGCCAGTAAATCAGATCAAATGGCTTCCGGCTCGTACACGTTGGTGTTTCAAATGGGTTACTTGTTCACAAGGTAATCAGGCAAGAGTTCTCTCTCCTGCCCAGAAGTCCCTTTTTTGGCATGGACGTTGGCCGCCCTGCGCCCCCAAGCCCCGAGCTTCTCCGGTTCCTCGTCCTCTTCAAAACTGTGCTTCTGACCATACTGCTGCTGCCCAACAGCCGGCTTCTGAGACTCGTGGCTGTTCGCCTGTCCCTTCGTCACATCCTGTTTGGTGGAGCCACTCTCGAGCTGAGGGTCCTGAGCATCTGGTGCACTGTCAGCATGGGGACAAGGCTTCCTATGTCCTCTACGCGGTGTGATTAGGCGTGACGTCGAGTGGTCTACGAAGGCGGACAGGTTACAGGAACGATCTGAAGGGTACTTACTGCCTTGTTTACCAGGAGTCCCCGCCGCTCCGGAAGAAGTACGTTCCATGCTGACAGCGCGAGTAGTCTGAATCTGGCGCGAAGTTTTCGAATCAAGACGTGAGTATGTGTCAATTTCGTCGTTGGGCGTATCTTCGAGGACTCGGCTGATTCGCATCACTATTAAAGAACCAGAGAAGAAAGGATGCATCGTGCCTGACCACCGCGACAGATTCTTACGCCTTACCACCAAAACAAAGCGACAAACCCACGATAAAGTCTTTCAGACCACCGAACCAGCGTCAAGACAAAGGGCTGCCGGCGCCCTAGTCGAACAAAGCCAGCACGATGTTGAATCCGACCAGGCCCGCGATATCGCCCCAGATCCCGCCCTTCCTTTGTCCCAGCTCCATCCAATCGTCCCCGAATGCCTCTTCCGGACTGACAATGTCGGTCTCGCCCATACCGAGCTCGTGAGCCACGGACTGGCCGAGCAGACGCATGACGAGATCCATATCAAGGTCCGGTCGGCGACCGAGCACGTGTCCATCGTCACCAAGCTCCGCAGCGACACTGGTGGTGCGATGGAACTGGACGCCTTCTCCGACAAACTCGTCCCCAGCGAGCCTTGCCCACGGATTGACCTCCTCACCTCCAGAGACGGGAATGTCGAGATTCAGCGTGACGCCGCCCGTAACGATGTCGTCGTCATTCTGTACGCTGATATCCGCTATCTGGCGCTGTTCCTTGAAATGCGTGCTATCGGTCCAGATGCCAGAGCCCGGCCGGTGGAAGAGGTTGAGGCCGTACATATCCCTCAGAAGCTTGATGGTGACCGAGCCGATCGCACCCTCGTAGTCTTCCCCCTTCAAGTCCAATGACGGGGTAGATTTCAGATCGGCAGCTGTCCAGAGCCGCAGCTGGCCGGGCCCGTAGTACATACTCACATCCCGCGTCGCGGAAGAGACGACCTCGGGTTGACAGTCGTGTTCTTGCAGTTCCGGCTCTCGATCCTCACGTTCCGCGGCGTAGTCGCTGCGACGGCTCCACACTTTCAGGTCGGACTTCAGAGCGTGGCTTTGGAGCATTGACAGCTTGGGCTGGGAGCGGCCGATTGAATAGATGGGCGCGGGCTCGAAGACGAAGAGGTAGGGAGGCACTGGTTTTGACGAAGGTGAGGTTCTGTGATTGAGCAGGTGCTGTCGCAGGTGGCCCTGTAGCGCCGCTACCCGTGCGGCATTGAAGAAAGCCGGTTTGGCTGGGACCACGGAGATTTGTATCGGATTCATGACTTTGGTGGCGATCGGAAATTCCAGCTCACTGGGTGTGATCTCAAAGCTGTCGGGTTTGATGGTGAGAGACGACGTTGAATTGAGGCGCCTATCCACAGTGCCATTCGTGAACTAACACTGTACCACTTGCAGTCACCAGGGATGTCATCAAGAAAACGTCAGATGGTGGAAACATTTTATATTGCAGTTCATAACACTTACCGTGCAATTCTGACTGCTGTAAACATCGAAAGTGGCGGGTGTAAACAAACGTAAACAAACATACCCGCCTCCCGTAACTCCCAACTACCTAGTTCTTTTCTTTTTCCTTTCCGAAACCGTAAATACGTCTAAGAGTCTTGCAACTTACTTACTCTACGCAGCCCAGCGCGACTCTGAGAGACCAGCCGAGCCGCTGCTCGAGCGAGACGGCGGAATGAACCGCTCTGTGGGGGACGGGGCAGCTGGCTGGGGCTCATACTCACCTCCACCGGTGTTCACGTAGGCGTCGCCGGACAAATCGTCTCCGCTGGTGCCGTTGAAAGCATTACCGACCCAACCATCAAATTGGCTGAAGTCATTATCCATCTCCAGGCTCAGCATATCGGCTTTGGACAGCTCCTCCCTTATCCATTCATGTGCGGTGAAATCAGGGGAGTCAGCTTCGCCGCCGTCAATGCTGGCACTTACCTCAAATGCGCCTGTCTGGCTATCTGCAACTGGTTGCAGAATAGACTCCGAGGTGTGATAGCCTGCCTGCCATCGATTCAAGCTCTCATTATCGGCGCGGTCAGGGATCCTGACGTCTTCGTAACCAAAATCGGTGACCTTGGGTGCCGGAGGCTCTTGTCGCTGCCGCTTAGCCGTGCTCTCCTCGACGGCGGCAGTGTCGTCCACTGGCTCGTCTCTACCACGCTTGCGGCTGGGAGGGGCTGCCGCGGCCACGTTGCGCGCCTGCTGGTCGTGGAAGTCATCGGGCACTAGTTCGTTGAGGACGAAATCGATGAAAGGCTGCTGACTTTGATAATTGATGGGTTGTGGCTGGTAGAGGGCGGCGCCAACCCCGTAGACTGAGTAGGCAGGAGCAGGGGCCGCCGGGTTGTAGCCTCGAGCCGGGTTCGTGTGCAAATCCTCTGAGGGGCCTTGTTGGTGCTGCGAGTAAATCGCATGGCCTGCAATACCGTTGTGACCGATGGGCCCCTGCTGGGAAAATGGTGCGTGGCTGACATGACCAGTGTAATCGACAGGCGCTGGCTGGGAAGATACCAAAGGATTTACATTACCGCTGTACCCGACAGGGTCTTGCTGGTAATATGATGTATGGTTGACAGGAGCTGTATAGGTGACAGGCTCCTGCTGGGTATGGACCTCATGACTGGTACTGGCATTGGACTCGACGGGTTCCGCTTGCTGGGGAGGAGTCGCAACATTGTGGTCCTCAGTGAGGTCCACAACTACTCCCTCGGTTCCAGAATGAGTCGTGACATTTGTGTCAGCAGTGGCATTCTGGCCTGCCGCCTCGTTCTCACTTTCCTCGCGGCGCTTTGTTAACTTTTTTTTACGTCGGTTTTTTACCTTTTCGGCCTTCATTTGCTCTAGGCGAGCATCAGCATTGGGTACTGGTTTGCGATTCTCATCGAGCAGGTCGTGGTCTCTCAGCTCCTTGAGATAATACTTCCGCTCGCGGTCGCCCCGATGCGTCCCGATGTCGATCCCGGCTCTAGATTCCCGCTGTTTTGTACGACCTATAGGTTCGTTGGCAAGCTTGTAATCGACAAACACCTGGTCGAGACGAAACTCCCGCTCTCGACTCCGTCTCACGCCTTTTTCTTTTGCAGCCCAGTACTTGGCCCGCTCCGCTTCGTACCACTCCAGGAATGCCTTCTCGATACCAACGAGGAAATCGTCCCGAGCTAGAGCAAAGTAGGGGTATGATTCGCGTATGAAATGCCGGTTGTCAAGGCGGATATCGCAAGGCTTCCATAGCTCGAGAATATCGAAGTGCTTCTCGAGGCAGTTGAGATGAACATATCCCGCGTTGTGGAAGGGGTCGACGACAGACCCATCCAGATTCTGGCGCTCATCAAAAATAACCCATGGTTGACCCTGGACGATGCTGCGGAGCGGTGCATCATCACAGTCCTCAAAGCGACACCTTGTTGAGTGCTCTAGACGAGGGTACCGCTTCTTGCACTGAGCTGCAGGCCAGCCTATCCACAATGTCAGTCCCTGCCTATCCGAGAGAGCATAATTCTCTCGTAATCCCTCTGTTTCGTTTGGGCCCAGAAGATATTGACGCATCTGATTTACTGTTAGGTACAAACCTGCTCCAAGCTCGCCGTCAGAGGTGTATGAGAACAGGTGATCGTCCTGGCTGTCCAATTGATTGTCACCGCTGACCTTCGGTCCCCAGCTCTTAGGCGGGTCCCGCGGCTCGCGGTAGACATCGGTAGGTTCGAGATACAAAACGCCATCTTTCCTTTCCCTCTTTCGAGGTATTTTCCGCACCCCGTTAGAACCCATCACCGGCTGGATCAGGGGAACTTGAGACTGCGGGATAGCGTTAAAGTTCCCGAAAGATGCTGGGTATTGGGCGTTGACACCTGTTGCTGGGGGTAGATAAGGAGATCGATTTTCGGCGTAATTGTAATAGGAAGGCATAGTAGAATAATCCGTGGTATTAGTTAGAAGGTTTGGCATGGTCGTGACAGGCATGGTCGTGACAGGCCACGGCTGCGTGAAGGCGAAGTCGGTATTGTTCACCTGCGCGCCAGGGGCGACGAGTTGCCGTGGGTCCATCGTGGTCGAAGCCTGTGCCGGCACAGGCTCCTCCTTCGCAGTCGGAAAAGTTAGACCACTCATCTTCGCAATGGTCACGCCTGGTAGACACTCCGGAGACTAAACTAAACACTTTGACAGCGAGCTCAGCTTGTGCTACCAGATCTCAGTTTCAGCAATGCGGAGTGATCGAACCAAGAAAGTGATTTCAATGTTGCAGAAAAGGAACAAGAGTATTGTGACGGCAGAGCGGTAGTATCTATATACGGCCAGGACTCGACATCTTTGTGATTTTTCCGACAATGTTGTTTACGAACAAAGCTATATTCACGCCTCCATAATATACAAAAGGGGGATTTTGGACATAGACCCATTGTCGAAGCCGACAGTGACAAAGCGGTCAAAGGATTGTCCTTGGATGCGTGGCTAATGAACCTCTCGTGGCTTGGCCATGGGGGTACTCGAAGAGAGCAGCTGACAATGATATGGCACTCTGGCATTTGAACGGTGGTAGGCGACTGATGATATGCCAAGGACGTACATCAAGTGCAAGCAATCTGCAAGTTGGGTCAGCAGCGGCTGCTGGTGGAGATCACAGTCGTGATGGAGGTGAAAACATAATCAGTAGCTTAAAGCATTTTCTCAACATATAATTTCAGAACAGGTCTGTGAATGCGTTGATTTTTCATCATATAATAGGAAATGGAAGGGGTGGCTGAGGAGAAGTGCTTACATTGTTGGAAGAGGGAGCAAGCCCGCAAGACGCGGGACAGACCATGTCTCAATGGTCAACTAAGAGTCAGTAGCGGAGCTGTATCGAAGAGCGGCGAGCACAATGATAATGACCTAAACAACGATGTTCGAGGCCAGCCGGTCTACCGGCGAGAGATTCGAGGGTATCAAAGAGATTCTTTGGCCATGATCCTGTGGACCCCAAGTCCAAGCAATGAAAGCATGTCACATCGATCGTGTTGCTACATTTGCATGTCGAAATGCCAAGCAGGAGACACAAGGTGATCCCGAAGAGAGGTCATGATTGTGCGATTACCTGGGAATCAGGCGGTTGGAGGTTGCAGGCTGTAGGTCGGATGTTGCAGGTTGCAGGTCGCAAGTTGGGTTGACTGAAGAATTTTCTTTAAGTGTCCATTCGTGATATGTAGACCTCCAGATATGCATATATGCAAGTACTTCTATCGATAAGTGTCTATCGTCAGGCTAACCGGATTAAAGAGTTGAAGGGTCAAAGTGGACCCACGACTCATGTCTGGCGGCGTCATCGTAGGCCACTGACAGCCCCGCCCTGGCGCTTGCCCCTGACAAGGCCTGTCAGCGAAGATGTGCCGGATCATGTACCTCGTACTGAACGCCACGACTGGGGTAGGCCTCGCATCGGCCAGTACCGCTTCGGCCAATCAAGGCTTGTCTGCGTCTTGCCTTTGAGGTCGCCTGTCTCCAAGACCAAGAATCAGGGCCGACGACAGACTGACAGACTCACAGTCGCTCCCATTGTCCTATACTCTCTACCCTCGGCCTATCGAGAAGACTGCTGCTGCTGGTACGACCGCTACAACATTACTGCGCGCTCTGCCGCCATGATACCCCCGTTTGCTTGATCAAGCCATACTCGGGTGCGTCGACGACTCCGCCACTGCGAATGCGAATGCGAGACGAATGCGATACCATCGTTCGGCGCAAAGTAGAATTTGACGCCACGCCCGCCCTGCTCAAACCACCTGTTCATAATGGCGCAATTGGGCCCCGACCTCCAAGACAAGCTGAACGAGCTGGAAAGGGAGTTGGAGGTAAGTAGTTTGTCGTCTGTTGAATATTGCTCCCGGCCATTCGGAGAGGCGGCGGGGTAGGACCCGAACACCACCGCATGTACAACGCGACGCCGACACGGATTGCGACAAGTAGGCTGACTCCACACACAACTATAGGAAGGCGATATTACGGAAAAGGGGTATGACCACGTCCGATCCTGCGCTACTCGACAGCAGCCTCCCACTCCTGCTATCACGTTTAGCTATCGTGCTCACGGGTCTAACCACGTCGCGTCGTTATAGGTTCCAGAAACGGCGAACACAGCTACTGTCGCATTACTTCGGCCCTGGGGGTCTGCCTGATGCGACTGGCGGCTTGAGGATACACTCACCCGACGATGAGAACTCTACAACCGACAATGGGCCAGGGGCAGCCCTGGCCGCCTTGAGTGCCACCAATCCAGACCCGGGTTCCCCTTCGCCAAAGACACGCACGTCTCCCGCCGACTGGCGTCCACAGTCTGGTCCACCTGGCTCTGTCCATTCTCATGCCCTGGAGCACCCTGCAGGTCTCCTGCGGCCTGGCGGTCCCATGGCCGAATACCGTCCCACCCTGAGGGAACGCGATTCTCTGTTCCTCGACCCGACGGGGAACTACTCCCAAAGCATGGGATCCGACCCGCCGACGCGGTCAGGTACCATGGTCTCGGGCGACTATGCCTTCAAACCAGAACACCACGGTGCATATTCGCAACATCCACCGAACCCGTACGATAACCGCGATAGCCGCACCGGCACCATGATGGACTCCCAAGGATATTTCTCCGATTTCGCTGGGCAGCAGTCTTATGATCAGGGGCCCGGAGGCGAATACGGAGGAGGTGGGCAAAGATACTCCGTCAGCGATCCGTTTTCTCCCACGGTTGCCATGGCTCCGCCGATGCTCACTGCAAACGATCTACCTCCGCCGGAAGCGCTTCAGTACATGATGCCCCTGGAGCCGCGCGAAGTGCCGTTTGCTATTACCGACCCACACGACCAGAATACCGCCATGTCCAACTTTGACAATATTGCTGCCGTTCTGAGACACAGAGGTCGCACTACTGCCAAGTTGCCTGCGTACTGGGTCCTTGACAGCAAAGGAAAGGAAATCGCATCCATCACATGGGACAAGCTGGCAGCAAGAGCGGAGAAGGTAGCCCAGGTCATCCGCGACAAGAGCTCTTTGTACCGGGGCGACAGGGTTGCGCTCATCTACCGGGACTCCGAGATTATCGATTTCGTGATCGCATTGCTGGGTTGTTTCATTGCCGGCGTTGTGGCCGTCCCCATCAACGATATGCAGGACTACGCAAAACTCAACCTGATCCTAACCTCTACACAAGCGCATCTGGCACTGACCACCGATAACAACTTGAAATCGTTCCAAAGAGACATCACTACTCAAAAATTGAACTGGCCCAAGGGCGTGGAATGGTGGAAGACCAACGAGTTCGGCAGCTATCATCCAAAACGAAAGGACGACGTGCCCCCATTATCTGTGCCAGACCTGGCCTACATCGAGTTTTCTAGAGCGCCAACAGGAGATGTCCGGGGTGTTGTTCTCAGTCACCGCACCATAATGCATCAGATGGCTTGTCTGAGTGCTGTTGTGTCGGCGGTGCCTCGCCACGGACCTGGTGATACTTTCAGCCGGGCCCTTCGCGACAAGAATGGCCGGTTGATAGGAGGCAGTGCTAGCAGTGAGATCCTGCTATCCTATCTTGATCCACGGCAAGGCATAGGGATGATTTTGGGTGTTCTTCTCAACGTCTACAGCGGCCATACCACCGTCTGGGTTGAGAACAAGGCGGTCAACTCACCTGGGCTATATGCCCATCTGATAACAAAGTACAAGGCGACGCTGATGATAGCCGACTACCCTGGTCTGAGAACTGCTGCTTTCAACTACCAGCAGGATCCCATGACGACGAGGAACTTCAAGAAGGGAATGGAACCGAACTTTCAGCATGTCAAATTGTGCCTCATCGATACACTGACGGTAGACAGCGAGTTTCACGAAGTTTTGGCTGACCGTTGGCTGCGACCATTACGAAACCCTAGAGCCAGAGAAGTCGTGGCGCCGATGCTGTGTCTGCCCGAACATGGCGGCATGGTCATCAGCGTTCGAGACTGGCTGGGTGGCGAAGAACGCATGGGGTGCCCACTGAAACTGGATTTTGACGCCGAAGAAGGCTCCGAGACAGACAAGGAGGACGAAAAGGAAGAGGAAAAGGCCACGCCGACCAATGGGTTTGGCAGTCTGCTCGGTGGAGGCACTACTACAAAGAAAGAACGTGATGCGAGCAATGACCTCAGCGAGGTCTTACTAGACCGGGAGGCGTTGAAGACGAACGAGGTGGTTGTGGTGGCGATCGGCGAGGAGGCAATCAAGAAAGCAAAGAATGAGCCGGGGACGGTTCGAGTGGGTGCTTTTGGCTATCCTATCCCGGACGCCACCCTTGCTGTAGTAGACCCTGAAACTGGGTTGCTAGCTTCGCCGCAGTCTGTTGGGGAAATCTGGGTTGACTCGCCATCCTTATCAGGGGGGTTCTGGGCGTTACCCAAGCATACCGAGCAGATCTTTCATGCAAGGCCCTATAAGTTCGAGCCTGGAGATCCCACACCAACGTCGGTCGAGCCCGAGTTCCTTAGGACTGGTCTTCTCGGTACCGTCATTGAAGGCAAGCTCTTCGTGCTCGGGCTGTATGAAGACCGCATCCGACAGAAGGTCGAGTGGGTTGAGCACGGTCACGAGATTGCGGAGCATCGTTACTTTTTTGTGCAACATATCGTTGTCAGCATTTTGCGCAACCTGAACAAGCAGGTTTTCGACGGTTCGGCCTTTGACGTATTTGTCAATGACGAGCATCTGCCGATTGTGGTGCTTGAATCAACAACAGCATCTACGGCCCCGGCGACGTCAGGTGCCCCGCCTAGGCAGCTAGACACTGCGTTGCTGGATTCGCTCTCGGAAAGATGCATGGAGGTCCTTATGCAAGAACATCATCTACGGGTGTACTGCGTGATGATCACTGCGCCGAACTCACTGCCTCGGGTGACCAAGAACGGAAGAAGGGAGATAGGCAATATGCTATGCCGCAGGGAGTTTGACCTTGGTAACCTGCCTTGTGTCCATGTCAAGTTTGGCGTAGAACACGCCGTTTTGAACTTGCCCATCGGAGTTGACCCCATGGGCGGTATCTGGTCGCACATGGCATCGGAATCCAGGGCCGACATCCTTGGGCCTACTGACAAGCAGTACTCGGGGATTGACAGACGGGAGGTAGTTATTGACGACCGAACGTCGACTCCCCTAAACAACTTCTCCAGCATCACAGATCTCATACAATGGCGAGTGGCCCGCCAACCGGAAGAGCTCGCGTACTGCACCATTGATGGCAGGGGCAAAGAAGGCAAAGGCGTGACTTGGAAGAAATTCGATACCAAAGTTGCCGCCGTCGCCCTATACCTTCGCAACAAGGCCAAGATACGGCCGCGCGACCATGTCATGCTCATGTACACGCATTCCGAAGACTTCATCTTCGCAGTCCATGCGTGCATCAACCTCGGTGCGGTGGTCATCCCGACCTCGCCGATGGATGAACGACGTCTGAACGAAGACGTACCGGCTTTTCTCCACCTCATCAACGATTACGGCATCAAGGCTGTCTTGGTCAATAACGAGGTGGACCACTTGTTGAAGACCAAGTCTGTATCGCAGCACATTAAACAGTCTGCCCAGGTCCTGAAAATTGGTGTTCCCAATGTCTTCAACACATCCAAGCCTCCCAAACAGAACAGTGGGCTTCGGGACCTTGGGGTCATGGTAGATCCAGTTTGGGTACAGCCAGGTTACCCGGTCATCATCTGGGCATACTGGACTCCGGACCAGCGCAGGATATCGGTGCAACTAGGCCATGACACTATTCTCGGCATGTGCAAAGTACAAAAAGAGACTTGCCAGATGACCAGCTCGCGGCCTGTGCTTGGCTGCGTCAGAAGTACCACCGGTTTAGGCTTCATACACTCCTGCCTCATGGGTATATACATCGGCACGCCAACGTACCTCCTCTCTCCGGTCGAGTTTGCTCAGAATCCTCTTTCACTCTTCTTGACTTTGAGTAGATACAAGATCAAGGATACCTACGCGACACCCCAAATGCTCGACCACGCCATGAATTCGATGCCAGGCAAGGGCTTCACTATGCATGAGCTGAAGAACATGATGATCTCGGCCGAAAGCAGACCCCGGGTTGACGTGTTCCAGAAAGTTCGGCTCCATTTCGCGGCAACTGGCCTCGACCGGACCGCCATCAACACGGTCTACTCCCACGTGCTGAATCCCATGATTGCTTCTCGCTCGTACATGTGCATTGAACCTATCGAGCTCTGGCTCGATCAGCGTGCTCTGCGCAGAGGATTGATCATCCCGGTGGATCCAGACTCAGATCCGAAGGCCCTCCTCCTGCAGGACTCTGGCATGGTACCAGTCTCGACCCAAATCGCCATTGTCAATCCTGAGAGCCGCCTTCTCTGCACAGATGGGGAATATGGCGAGATCTGGGTAGACTCGGAGGCCTGTGTCAAGGCGTTCTATGGCTCCCGGGATCCTTTCGATGCCGAGCGCTTCGATGGGCGTACTATCGATGGCGACCCAAACATCAGCTATGTCCGCACTGGCGATCTCGGTTTCCTGCATAATGTCAGTCGACCTATTGGGCCAGGCGGTGCACAGGTCGATATGCAAGTCCTCTTCGTACTAGGCAATATTGGCGAGACATTCGAGATCAATGGACTGAGCCATTTCCCGATGGACATCGAAGCTTCGGTAGAGAGATGTCATCGCAACATCGTACCTAGTGGCTGGTACGTATTCTAATTTGCCCAGGTTTTGATCATAGCTGACTGCTTCTAGCGCTGTATTCCAAGCTGGTGGTCTCGTGGTCGTTCTCGTCGAGGTTTCACGCAAGGCATATCTTGCGTCCATTGTGCCGGTGATTGTCAACGCAATCCTCAACGAGCACCAGATCGTCGTCGATATTGTTGCGTTTGTGAACAAGGGTGACTTTCCCCGTAGCCGACTTGGTGAGAAGCAACGCGGCAAGATCTTGGCAGGCTGGGTCACGCGCAAGATGCGCACCGTTGCCCAGTTTGCCATCCGTGATGCCGACTCGGTCGGTATGGAAGGCGCCGATGGTGCAATGGACCCTCGTGCAAGTGTTGGCAGCATACGCAGTAGTGGTGCTCACGCCGCGAGCTCGTTGCGGAATATGGAACATGCTCCACAGATACTGGAACAGGAAGAGCTCGATCATCAGATGGACAAGATGGCGTCTCTTCCACAGCCCAGTGAGCTCTCGGCTAATAGCGACAGGCGCAGTAATGCACCGTCATCGATCAACACGTCAATGGCACAAGCCAGTTCGTCACACAATTATGCCCTACCAGAGTTTGACCACTATGGCGATGAGGCTCGGACGTCGACCATGCAACAGAGACCTCCGCAGATCCGTCTCCCGGGTGTTGATGGCCGTGAGGTGCCAGCGGATGACGACGAATGGCAACGCGATGCGATCATGCACATGAACCTGGCCAACCAGCATGATTAATGGTCTGGGGTACCAAACGAAGCGATTAAAGGCCAAGTCGAGTGCTGCTTATCGCGTCGGTCAGGGTCAGCCGTGTTGAAGGATGCCATCCTACTCAACCTCTGGAGTTATTTGGACTATTCGGGGTTGGAATGAGTGGTGTCGTTCTGGATTTGTCGTGATGGGCTGCACAGCGGGCAGAAGTCACGTAGTATGTTGCTGATGATGGGACTTGGCATTGTAAACAGAGATATCACATAACGCGATGAACAAGAATAACTCAAGATCAGCTGTTTAACGGGTTCTCGGTGGTTGGTCTTGACGTAGTGTCTGCACAGGTGCAGTGCGCGTATACCACAACCATACGGCCATAGGCCGCTCTATGTCACTGTACTGGTGGTGCGGCAGTGGCTGCGGCGGTTGTCAGGATGACCGACGAAGAGACTTGCCGGTGTTGTATGGGCATGCGTGAGTCAGGCAGCCGAGAGCAAGTCGATGGCCGCGACGAGGTGCTTCAGCAGAAGAGAGATTCAGGACGCCATCAGTCCAGCAGTTGCCGTTGTTGGTGCGATTCTTGCAGCGGTGCGGGAGGGTCTTTTGCAAGACCTTGACCTCCACCCCAATGAGAACCGGTCGAACTAGGTTGTCGAGTCTACCGGAGCGCAGGATGGCCTCCGCTACTGAGACGGGACTGGGCGCGTGTGTTTATGGTTTCAGATCGGGGAGATATGGCAGTCAGATGGATTCACCTTGGTCTCATGGCTTCTCGCAGCAGGACATGTGGCTGCACATGCATTCATTCGGCACGCGACAACAGTATGAGGATCAGGATGAGGCTTTTGAATGCGGCTACTGGACGTCACTTTGGTTTCTTTAGCATCATTATTCCTCCAGGTAGTCAGTCACACAATGCATCAGCCATATCCAGCCACCCTTTCCTTCTTCATGATATGCGTTGCTAGCCCAGTGTCACGCGGAGACCCTTGTAGTCCTTCTTGGGGAGGCCAATCTCGCAACTTCGGGTCGGCACGACGTCCGACTCGTCACAGTCGGCGGCTGTCATCTTGGACCCGTTAGGCCTGAACAATGTTCCCAGAACGATGAACATCTCGGACCACGCGAGCCTCGGTTTCATTAGCTGAAGTACCCTAGACAAGGTCGGTCACAGATGGTAGACTTACTGCTTTCCCCAGCAGGCTCGGGACCCCTTCGAAAAGGGCACGAAGTTGCGACTCATTCGGGGATCATATGATCCAAGCCAGCGCTCTGGAAGGAACTTGCAGGGCTCTGGGAATACCCCTGGGTCCATGTGCATCGTGTGTGCCGAGATACCGACCGCGGTCTTTGGGAAGTAAGCAAGTGCCGGGTGGAAAGCACAGCGTGTAAAGAATGGTTACTCACACCCTTCGGGATGACCCATTGCTTGTACACCAAGTCGATATCAGGCGAGATGCGTGCCTGGCGCCTCAAGACACGGTTGATTCTGATATCAACAAGGTTAGAGTCATCGACAGTGTTGAAGGATGAGATCCTCACCGGAGTCCCTCCTTGATGCATGCTTGGAGGCAAGGAGCCTTCTCCAGCTCAGCCTAGGGAGGGGTGCCCTCCTTATAAGAGAACTGCTCCTGCTCCCCGCGCAAACGGTCCTCGATCTGCTTATCAGCCAGGATGTAGTAGGCAGCAACCGTCAGGGTACCCTGAATAGTCGTAGTTCCTCCGACGAGAAGCGCAAACGCCTCTGCAGAAAGGCGCTTCAGGCTCTTCTCGGACTCGGGCATGTCACTGGCAAGCAGCTGGTGGAAGACGGTCGTGCTCTCGAATTCCTTGTGTTCTGCTATTTCCTTCTGTATCTCCACGACTCGGTGCTCGCCGAACTTGCTCTGTTAGCTTCTGATGGTATCAAGGGGACCAACTCTCATTTGCTAATTCGGCTGATCTCATCTGCGAGATCGAGGGACTGATTGCGGCCCCGGACGTCGTCGAAAAGGGGCAAGGCCTGCAGTAGCCAAATATCAACAGATAAGGACAGAGCTAATCGCTGGAAGCTTATGTGATGTTCGAAGAAAAAGTCGGGAAGACTAAGTATGCAAGTAAGCAAGAAGGATCGCAAGGCATGAAGCGAGGCGGTGAGGTTGACAATATCACCGGCTGTAATGCATCTGGAGACTATAGCCTTGCGGCACAGCACCAATCACACGATGCCTGGGCCCATAAATCGCCCCTATTCGCCTTGGCCTCTGCACCGGGTCTTGTCTGGTATCCATAGTATACAGGTCTGAGTCATTCTGATAAAGAAGTACCCCAAGTCGTGGGAAGCTAGGTCCGATGGAGAGGAACAGATGCATGATATGGGTGACGAATAGGTCATAGAGCCGAGTCCCCAGTCTCTGGGCAGTCAGCTCTGGCTCACGCTACCATTTGGCAAAGCAAAAACGATACCGCCTCGGAAAAAGCCTCGAGAGGAGGGATCATGCATTACTTTGGACTTATTGCTTAGGTAAAGAGCTCCTGCAAGGGCCTTGGTGTTCTTCGTGATGTGAAGAGTGGCCATTTCACCTTTCAGAACCTCGACCTAGATACCTCGCTACCTTTCGGTGTGCTAAGCTACATCTTCTTTCTCAGGTCATGGAGTTCCATTACTCACAAGTGGTTGACCCGCCGGCGTGGAATTCCCAGGGGCTATGTGACGGCTTGCCCCTTCGCGAGCATCTGAATCCAGAACTGGAGGTCGCCGGAGTCAACAGACTTCGTGATGACTGGGAGAAGTTTGTTGGGCCAATACCCCCCGGATCAAACAGGGGGTGTTTGGGCTCTCCGCACCATATGTGCTCGTTCGCGATTCCAGAATGCCTGCCCGAGCGCCTAGAACTCGTGGCATACATCATGGAGTTTGGGTTCTTGCATGACGACCTGATCGATACATTTGAGAACGCCGAGGTAATTAGATCAGACATAGGATCTTCTCGAGTATCGTGCTAACTTGCGACGAACCAGGCCGACGTCCAGAATGAGGGGATCAGGAAGGCCTTGAAAGATATGCTCAGCGGTGAGCCCTCTGGCGAAGGACAGATACTGCTCACCATGATCAAAGAGATGACCTCAATTGATCCTGCTGGAGCAAACGAGATGATGAGCTACTGGGACCAGGAGCTGTCTCTTGCGCGTGATCGACCTGATATCACGACCTTTGATGACTACCTTGAGTACAGGATTGTGGACTGCGGTGCTACGTACGCGAACCCGGCTGTGCATCTTAGCTTCTCATCCTTGGAGGTAGATACTCACCCTGACACAGATTCGCAATAGCGCTTGCCACGTTCGGGATGAGCCTCAATGTCTCCCAAGCGGAGATGGACGAGTGTTTCCGGCTCGCGCGTCCCGCCTTCGCAGCAAACGCAGACCAACGCCGTCCAGTCCTGGGAGAGAGTACAAGCAGTTCATCGCATCCCAGGAGCAGGGAGAGCTGCGGAACTCTGTATGAATCCGCATGAAACAGGACGCCATCGATGAGGACGAGGCAAAACGCCAAGTCCTCAAGAAGGTAAACAGTCTGATAGGGGATCACATCCAGACCTGGGAGGAGACGAAGGGCCGGCGGGATTTGTCCCCTGATGCTCAGCGTCTTATGGAATCGGTGCAGTATATGATCAGTGGAAACTTCATCTGGGGCAATACGTGTCCACGTTACCACCAGGAGCAGTCACCGGCCGAAGTCGAGGCGGTTGGTGCCTTTATCGAATCTGAGAAGCCCGAGCATACCAACACGTCAGACTACGGGAGTGGTGATTCTACTGCGGCTGACCCCGACGAGCCATCTGGTAGCACAGACGATCTTGTCATCGAAGATGACGTCCGTGATCTCGATGATGCTATCAACCAGACATCAGCTGAGGAGAAAGGAGTCGGCCATGACGGCATACCCAGTGACTCGATACATCAGTATCGTTCCGCTGGGAAAGCTGACCCTTCCACCAACCGAGACCTGCCCGCTCTTTCATCCGCCGTAAGAACACCTGAAGCACCACAGTTTGCAATTTCAGCTGACTGACTGCACCTACCAGACCATCTGTGCCCCAGCGCGGTACATCGAGTCCCTGCCATCCAAGAACATCCGTGACAAGGCCGCAGTAGCCTTCAACGTATGGTTCAACATGCCCAGCTCCGGAGCTTGCAACCATAAAGCGCGTCATCAGCATCGGGCACAACGCCTCGCTCATGGTCAGTATCTTGGAGCCCTTTATTTTCTGATCTGTCATGGCTCGAGAGAGTGTACCTGCTCAAGGTGCCTCCAGAGCCAGAAGTTCCGAGGCATGCACCTTAAACCGCGAGAGTAGTTACTGACCGCTATTTACTAAGAGATGGACGACATCCAAGACGTCTCCGATACGTGTCGCGGCAAGCCGTCGACGCATACAGTATTCGGCGTCGCGCAGACCATCAACTCAGCCGGCTACCTGATCATCAAGGCCCTAGAGGAAGTCAAGTCGCTGCAGGATCTGGCCTGCGTGGAGATATTCATCGGTAAGCAAGCGAGAGCAGCAGGCGCCGGGACCGCAGGCCATGGCTGACTAACTAACACCACGGCAGAGGAGACAAGCTGTCTGTACATCACGGCAACTACTAATTCTATGGCAGTTGTAACTAAAGACCCCTACCTGCTTCGTATCGTATCCTACCTGCTTCGTTGCTATATAATATAAAACAAAGCAACGCGCCTGTCTTGTAATATCAAATGGCCTAGTGGTCGAATGAACCTAATCGTAATCTCGTAACCTGTAAGCCCATAGTTTAATTCGCCGTAATGTTATATAAATAATCCTTTTCGTATATAGTACTATATAGTATTATATAATCATATAATGCGGCGATAGCATCGTTCGGTATTTTATTTTTACTTTATTTTATTTCGGGCAACCGTACTTTAACTACTAGTTATACATATAACTGTGTTATAATTTCAACCTAATTTTTATTATAACCTTTCGAACCTGCACTATATTATATAACCTAGTGTCGGGAATCCTGTATCGGTGCGGAATAAGGGTAGATTCCCTACTTGCTTGCTTGTTCTGGCTATGGGTCAGAGGGCCTGATTTGGTACTAAATACACACTCAAACCACAAAGCAGGGCCTATCCTTAGAGCATCTAACAAAGCTCCTTCATCCAGCTGCTTCCATTGACCCCTTTGACCACCAAAGCCACCACAATTCTCACACCTAGGTTGATATTCTGACCGGTCGTCAACCGACCGTTGACCGTATATGCACTGTGACTTCCCCAACCAGTGCCCCGCCCTAATGTATCAGCGGGATACTGGCGTGAGAACCTGCCTACTGCACAACAAACTGCTCCGCGTGGGCCTTATACAACACCGACGTATCCAGCACCTCGCCCGTGGCGGACCTGATGAACTCAACCTGCAGATTATTTCCATCCAAGAACGACAAGCGCGCATAACTAAAGTCGTCCGCGTACGCAAACGCAGTATACGCCGGCTCGGTGCCCACCGCACTCAGTCCCTCAATATTCCCCGCGCCGCCCGCAACGATGTACATCGGCGAGGCCGGGTCGTCCAGGCCGGCCGCGTCCGCGGTGCCGTTGTTCACGGGCTGAAAGCGTTGCGAGTTGTGCACGTGGCCAAAGATAGCGAGGTCGACGCCGTACTTGTACAGCAGCGGCTCGAACGCCGCCTGGCAGGGGGCGCACCCATCGCTATCGCCGCCCGTGGTGTACCACGGCCGGTGGCCGCCAACGAGCAGCCAGGGCGTCACGGTGCGGTCGACGGACGCGAAGTCCGCCTCGAGGAATTGCAGCTGCTGGTCCGCGTACCCGAAGGGCCCGCTGTCGAGCACGGTGGAGCCGCCGGGCCCGTCGGGCGCGTCCGCAAAGTCGGTCTCCGTGTCGATCATGACGACGTGCACCATGCCGTACTCGAACGAGTACCAGAAGGGCGGGTTCGCCAGCATCTGGGCCTCGTTGGCGGCCACGCGCGCCGCGTCGCTGCCCGACGTCGACGGGAACGCCGGCGGCAGCATGGCGCCGCCGAAGCGGTTTTGGAAGTCCGTGAAATTCTTCTGCCCTTCTGGGCATGCGTACGGACCGAGCACCTCCTGGCAGTTGGCCTCGTGGTTACCGGGGCTCGCCATGTACGGCTTCCGCCCCGCGATAGGGGCCAGCTGCGAGTAGAACTGCTCGAGAATGGCCTCGAAGGCGTTGGCGCCGTCGAGCAGGTTCTTGGGCCGCTCGAACCAGTCGTCCGCGTAGGCCAGGTCGCCCGGGTGCAGGACGAGCTCGTAGTCGTCGATGCTGGAGGCTAGTCGGCTGATGGTCGTGTGGTTGAGCGAGGGGTCGATCGACGGGATCGCGTCCCGCTTCGACATGTCCATCTCGATGGTGTAGCCGTCGACGCCGTAGACGCCCATGTCGATGACGGCGTTAAGCGAGAATGCGCCCTTGTCGCCTGCGGGCCGTGGGCTGAGGAAGTGCTCCGTGCTGGAGTTGGTCGACACGATCTTGTAGTAGTAGGTCGTAGCCGGTGCCAGGCCTGTCAACACCACCATGTTGGAGTAGGTCCGCGAGGTGGGATACGTGGCCGATGAGGTTGAGCAGGCCTGCAGGGTGAGACTGTCATTGGATGTGCCATATTGCACGCACGGCTGGGCTATCTGCTCGTATGTGTTCCAGCCCACCGATATAGCTGGAGGACGAGCTTAGCATTGAACACTCTAGTGATGAAGTCTGTGTCAACTCCTGAACTTACAGCTTGGTCCGGCTATAGCGATGCGTTGCTGGACAGGGGTAGTCAAGTCGACGGGCTTGGCAGGGTAACTCGCTGCTGCCCATGCAGCGACAGCGAGGACCGGCACCCCTTTCAGGATATTGAGAAGAGATATCATGATGAAAAGACTCGAATCAAGTTCGTAACCTTGAGGTCAAGGCGGTTCATGTCACGCCAGACGTATAGCGCGAACAGAGCGAGCAGTGACGAGGGTGATCCGCGGGTAAAAGCATAGCTCGATAGGGGACTTCTATGCCCATATTTATCTCCAAAGCCATGTTGACGATTCGGGACCCACGTGCCCGAATAGCTGCATGATGTCGAGTGTTCCGGGGGTGCAGCCTGATCCGGGTTCCCGGCCGCACCTCGACGTGACATCGAGTCAGCCCGTGGGGTAATTGATTGGGCAAGAAGAGATCGAGCGAACGAAGCCACATCACGAAGCTTGATTATGGATTAAGAAGCTCGTTTTTTTGGACGCGCAAGGCATTCGGATATGTTCAATGCATGATGCCGCCCCGTCCCATTGCAGCTGGGCGCCAATAGCTCTCGACCTTGGGTTGCGAAAAGTTAGTTTCCGGAACTGTACGGATGGTCAATTGGGAAAGTACTATAATTGCTTCGGCGAGTCCAAGACCTACATCATGGACCTTGAGAAAATGAGGTTTGAATGATACATGGTGATGAGGCGGAAAGAAACGAACGTGGATGGCTAACACGCAATGGGGGGAGGGTGGCAGGCCAAGAAGAGGAGCGAAAGGGGAAAATCACTTAACCTTAGCGAACACCCTGATGGCCAACACATCTACTCAAATGTAACATCGCACCGTGATTGTTGAGACGCCTGAGCTTCTACAGCCGAAAAGGGTCCTATATCATTCCACTCTGTCCCTAGGCATGCGTATCTCGAGTTTTCGACGTCAATGGTAGCGTCTCGTGTCAATGGTAGCGTCTCGTATGCTACAAAATCACCTCATACTTCGGTCGCAAGTGCTTCCGCGAGGATATTGCATGTATTTAGACGTAATAATACAACCACGACTTCAAAGGCGCCAGAGGTCATCCTAGAGACCATAGTGAGAATTACATTTCTATCTACCCGTGGAGGCAAACGTCTTGGGAATGATAAAGTGTGATCAGGAGGATGCCAGGTGCGTGTTTCCACTATCCTGAAAGCAACCGATGGGCTCATTGGCCAGTGTCATTGCAGTACTCCCTCCCACTGACAATAAAGGGGATAAACAGCTCTGATCCACTGAACATCGTGTGTCTCGCCCGCGATCGATACACATCGATACCCCAAACACCTTGCCATGTCGTGGTGGTTGATCTGAGGGAGTTGATCGGAGGAAGTGATTGGGAAGGGGGAATAGAGGGACCTCAAGCGATTGGAGTCAAAAGTTTACATTATTGTAGTAGTATCGAAAAAAGTGCTGGGGGTATCTTCGTAACTCGTACAGCCCAAGACATAGCGGGCAGAGTGTGATTAGAAGGGGTTAAACTAAATATGAGGCATGAAGGGAAACGTCTGTGGCGACAAAGAAGTAGAGCTCATGATCATGGCACAGTGTGTGGTTCGCCCAGAGTCGCAGGACCGGGCTCAGCTGGCAAATGTGGTCCTGACCTCGAAGCGGGCTCACTGTTCGAGATTGAGACCTCCGGATCTGGTATCTGTATATCGAGCTGGACCGAATGTCAGTACTCAATTTACGATATCGAATGTTCACATGAACTCACATTCATGTATCCTGTCCGTCTAAGTGGAACGATTCTTGGAGCTGTGGTGCCCTCTTCCGAGCCCACCGTCTTCTCCATCTCGGCGTTCCACTTCTCGATCCAAGACTCCAAGCTCCTGAGCCTAATCTTGGCGTTTGTCAGGCCCATATCGTCCCAGATCCAGCCGGTGACGAGTCCGAGCACACCATCGAGGATATTTCTCCAGTAATAAGGGTTGAAGGTGGCAACGAGCTCGCCGTTGATCTTTTCAATTATTCGGCGAAACTCTTGTTCTGACACGCCGGCAGGATCCAGGATTTCCGGGTACAAGTTGGAAAAGGTCGGTGCCAAGTCACCTTCAATCAGCCAGTCTCTCCGGACACGTATTATGCGGGTGGTCGTGTACTCTTGAGAGTTGATTGGTACGTGGGGGTTTATGTGTGGGAAACATGGATGTTGGGGGCCCCATTCCTCGCCCGTATCAGGTTGATCAGGATCGCCCATAATGGACGAATTGCTCGATACAGCCGAGATGCCATCTGGTAAAGACAGGTTTGACGCATTGCGCTGACGACCAAGGACATCAGGGCCTCGCTCTAGGTCCTGGGTAAACCCGCTGCTGGGGTCTTCATCGCTGGTTGGTAACATGACTGCTTTTCCTTTGCCTTTATCGACTTTCTTGGGTGTACTGGCAGAACTATCAGGGCGGACAAGACCAAAACTTATGGCTCGGGCTCGCTTGGTGACGCTTTGACCTCGTTTTCGCAGGGCGTCGACCAAAGGATTATCGTCTTTCGATTTGGGTTCTGACGGCTTGGCCTCGGCCTCCCCCCACTTTGGTGGCGAATCGGACGCACGTTTGACGTCGTAAGAATGGCGGACCGAGCTGGGCAGGCTGATTCTCGTATCCCCACTTTCTCGTCCCTCAATTTGAAGGCTAGCACGGATGGGTGCCGAATGTCGGTTTTGTATCTGCTCAGGGAGAGTGAGGAGTGGGTATCTGCCGGCACTAGTACTGATGGGATCGTTCGGATCGGACGAGATATTGATGGTCGGGTGAACAAGGGGTACTGATGGAGGCGGAGGCGTCGAGGGACGTCGTTTGCGAGATTGACGAGCCGGTCGAACTGACTGCGTGGGCGGGACCCTGGGGGTAGAATTAGTCGGGTTCCAAAGACGCCCAGGACCGCCAATTCGGCGAGGTATACGATTAGGAGGATTAGATCCTGCGGCGCGATTGCGGAAGGGTGGAGGTAATGTGTGATTGTTGGGGCCTCGACGTCTTGATGCTGGCGAGTTCCTTCCGGTGCCAGGTTGTCGTCTTCGGGTGGCGGCTATTGCGGCCTCAGGCGCAGCGATCGTTGGTTTGTTCGCGAAGCCTGGCTGTAGCGGCGGCGGCGAGTTGATGTGAGGGTTTGGTGGCGCATCTACGGCGGTCGGTGGCAGGTTCGTAGGACGACTGGCAGCGTGTGAAGCCGTTTGGAAGACGACGCTGAAGGGGCCGCAGGGACAGCCGGGGTCGATCGACTAAGCGCCAGTGACCCGTCGTCTTCTTCTTCGACAGGCAGCTCGCGCGACGAGCGTCGACAACACGAGGAGTGCGGTCGTGGTTGTGATCGAGAGCGTGTACGACGGGAGCGTTGTCGACGGGACTGTAATCGAGCCGCCCAGGTCACACTTGCGTGCCGGTGATAGAAATGACAGTTCGGAGGCTCGAGTGCCAATTCCACCGCTACTAACGACGGCTCCAAGGTTCGTGACTGGAAAGTATCGTCGTCGTCTTTCAGGGGATCGAGAGGTGCAGGATGGCGATTGGTCGAGATGAAGTTAGCCGAGCTCAGATTACCCAGCAGGGACATTGCTGCCAAGAACTGCCGGGCCCAGCCAGGTGGCGTCTGCCTGTGGCAAGTGTTGCGAGTGTCGTATTATTGCATCTATCGCAATAAGTGCATGGATTCGACAGCCGAATGGAACCTTTGAGGTCTTTGACGCGCCAGTGAGGCCACTACTTGCGATGCGAATTGCGATTGCGCTTGCGATCAAGACGATTCACTTCCAAACCGTCTCACCGTTTTACTTCTTGACCAACCCCATGCAACGGACACCTTGTGTTGACTCCGTTGGAGTTCTTGACGCTCGTTTCCGTTTGTATGTCGTCGGTATGCAAGGTACTGGAAATGCCGGCCGCGCTGCACAGTCAAAGTATCGCGTTGTCGCTCTGTTGTCGGCGTGGCTCTCGCAGGTTATTTAAATGATGAGCGCTGTTTTTGAATGTGTAGTGCACATTCCAGAGCGCGAGTGGGTGGGAGACAGATTCCGATCACGGTTGGTTGGTGTGAGGTCAATTAGAGATCAATCACACCAACAAGATGAGATGGCCAGCCCTCCAACACATATATACGACCAGGGCGAGGTGTTTCGTCATCCACGGCCTCACCGTCCTATGTAGGTCAATGCTTTAAATAATTAGATTGTTCATATTGTGCGGCAGAATTTCTTTTCTATTCTGGCGTTGCATACCAACGCACAGCTCAGCTAGAGTGCCCACCGCCTGAGGCTATTCAGGGGTTTCCCCGTAACCCCCAGACCCTTTGCCGGTGCCACGGCTCTTGACTGGGATCATATCAGACACGCAGACGCCGGGACCCGAACGAATGGGCCAGAGTGGAGCGTCGACAGCCTTGCGATGATGCCAAGTTTGGCCCCATTCGTCACATAACACATTCCAGGCAGGCTGGCGCTGTGCTCACTGCTCATTCATCAGCCATTCTCGGCTTGTCAATGGCATGCCAGCCTCTCCTGCGTTGGTCGACGACGCGACAAATTCAGCTCTTCGCGGCGCTGCTAGGATCCATCCGCCGCATGATCCAGCGTGGCTGGCACAAGCGCCGCTACAAATCATGTGTGATGATGGTGTGCTCTGATCAGGTCAGTGCTGCAAATAATTGTGACGGAGGTCACGGAGCACGGCAACATCTCCACCGCTTTGCCTCCCAACCTTCCTCAGAACACTGAGAACAGCCATAAGATCAGGTGGTCGAGGACGCATTGAGATCCTGGTGCGTTTTAGGCATTGCCCAAGAGCATCGTAGCCATGGAACGTAGTGGGTTTTTCAAATTGTGTCCACCGCACCCATCCTGCCTTTGGCCCTTGGGTGGGGGAACTTCTTCCTCATTTAAAAGTTATTTCGACCTATCGCCAAGCTGTGCCTTCAGCTGATGTGGTATCTGGTGGGGTCTCGACGCAGGGGATATTACACGTTCAACATTGAGGCCCCTCAGATTCCAGGAACGCCTGGCCATTGTGACAGACAAACGAACACAGGCTCCGGAATGGTGACGAACGAGTCATGGTCATGAAATCCGAGCAACATGACCTGAAACACCATATCAACCTTGGAAGGTCCCGGTGCAATGAGTGTCAAGTGCTCAGACATCCAAAGCTTAATACCTGGTATGCTCGAGACGGCAACCCGAAATGTTGATTGATGCTACATGTAGCATGCACACATCATGTAGATCAGGTACCTACCTACCTAAGGACCTAAGGTACGTGTTGCCGTCTGCTTCGACTTTTGAAGCCAAACGTAAACTCGTCTCGAGAGTGGGATTCGGCGTCAGTGCAGAATGAAGTCGTCATCATCTGCGACTTGTGAGCACCTCCAGCTGCATTTGAAGGTAGAAATTATTAATCGATTGACGGTTTCATGGCCAGTCAGCCAGTCAGCCAGTCATTGGTCAGCCAGACTTTTGCCAGTTGCATGAGCGTTCCATAGCGGCGACTCGGCTTGTAAGTTGTGACCCCATCGCCCCGCCACGTTCAACTTGCAAGGGTGACGTAACAGCCCTAACAGCCCGGCATCGAGAATCTGGAGAAGCTCCCCGAACTGGCGACTTTCATCCCTGCCGACGCGTCCCACCTGATCGCTCCCCCATAGGGGCCTCTTCCGTCATCCATTTCTGGAGCAACTGCAGTCCCCTCTGCAGAGCCAGAGCAGGTTCGGCATTCTCTCCCAGCCTGAGGAATTGTATCGAGCTTGTCGGGGAGACAAGACAGGCCGGACAGGCCTCTGCAACAAGGGTGCTGTTCCCATGCCGCCCTTCTTCGGGTCCCATTGACCAACCATGGCCGAAGAGAGCTATGCTTCCGTTTCGACAGCAACGGCCAACACGGCCAACACGGCCCGCCGCGCTTCGACTTCGACCGGCTACTCGCCGCCAGCTCCGGGCCTGCCGGGGCTGCGTAAAGCTGCGACTATGAGCCAGACCGGTCACCTACGCCAACGTCCCACTGTCAATACTGCCTCGCCCTCTGCCGAGACTACCTTCGTAGACTTTCGAAGACAAAGCTCCAACTACTCAGACTTCAGCCCGCACGAAGTCAGGCGAGACCTCGACACAAGCGCGGATGAATTCTTCAACCCCTCTCGCCCACACTCCAAGGAGCTGACCAAGTCGCCATATGTCTACATTCCGCTCACGCTCGCCTTGTTGCCCGCCGTGGCTGGCATGCTCTTCGAGAACGGCAGCGCCTTCCTCACCGACTTGATACTGCTCAGCTTGGCCGCTGTATTCCTACACTGGTCCGTTACGCAGCCATGGGATTGGTATCACACAGCACAGCAGGTCCGCATTGTTAAAGACCAGATCATGACCGAGTCGGTCTTTGAGTCTGACAGCGAAGCCGAGCCATCACCAACCCTGTCTGCGACCACGGCCCTCGAAAATGTTCCGGAAGAGGTTGAGAAGCAGAAGGACACTGAAAGTCCTTTGAGCGAGTCTCCACGCCCGGAGAAACAATGGGAGGCGCGGAAAAGGGCCGCTATCAGTGAACTCTACTTTCACGAAGTATTGGCTCTGACATGGTGCTTCGTCTTTCCCATGCTTGGTGCCTACCTATTGCATACTATTCGCGGGCAACTGTCGCGACCATCCGAAGGCTTGGTGTCCAACTACAATCTAATGATTTTTCTCTGTGCCGCCGAGGTCCGTCCTGTTTCACATCTGATGAGCATGATCCAGAACCGCGCCCTGCGAGTCCAGCGCGTCCTAGCACGGAATCCACACACAGAACAGTCCGTCACACATGAGCAGTTCGAGACACTGCTTGGGAGACTGGACGAACTCGAGGCTCATTCAAGTTCTCAACAGCCGACAGTAAACGGCTCTGCGCAGCCCGACGTTTCCCAGAAGGTGATAGCGACAGCGGTGGGTCGCGAGGTGCGCAGCACGATTCAGCCGGAACTCGACGCCATGAACCGAGCCATGCGTCGATATGAGAAGAAAATGACAGTCCTGGCCTGCCAAACAGACAACCGAATCGAATATGTGGAATGTCGGCTGAACGACGCCATTGCGCTCGCGGCTGTTGCGGCCAAGAATAGCAATGCGCAGTGGGGGTTGACCACCTGGATGATGGAGACGACGGTCACGGTCGTCATGTTACCCGTGCAGGCAGTAATGGCGGTCTTCACATTTCCGCTCAGAACAGCGACGGCCCTGTTCACTCCCAAAAGCAGACCCGACAAGGCGCAGAGGAACGCACGGAATGGGAAGCTGCCAGCCCAGGGCCGGAACAGCACTGATCGAGTGCCTACGCGAGTGGCTAGGAGATGAGTGTGGGATAGCAGATGGGTGTTTGCGAACCGTGTGTACAACGACTTGTTACGATACTACGGAATAGGGGATCAAGATACCACAAGGTTTGGGGAGGCGGCGACTGGCAATCAGTGTTACGGAGTACATGTTTAGAGGTGGCTACCCACACGACGGGGGGCGCAAAAGGGGTAACAAAAGGGGTTCGAGGTCTCTGCTTAGTAACACACCCCGAGACAGATTGTAGCTGGAACGCGATACACGAACAAACATCGATCCTAGATTCATATTGAGGGTTTCCCTCAACATCCGCATTGTCTTTGTACCAGACTTATCGTGTTTCGGCAAACGAGTCTCATTGTGCTGGCAGAGGCCAAGCTCATGGCCGACAATAGCAGCGCCATCTCCGTCCGACCTTCGAAATATGTTAACGCGCTTTTCGCGATTGAAAGACGCGTTCCCTCGACTAGAGTTGCCACAGACAATGTTGAATCTTCCAGCTTGTCCACAGCTAGCGTCATAGTTCTTTATTAAGGTTCGCACTGGTTTTTAGTCTTGAAGACATGTTATTTTGCGACGGCTTCATGACCAGGCTCATGACGGCAGAGGCTGACAGCGCGCCGTCCATACGCAATTTGAAATTTCTAGACACAGGGGTGGCTGTTAGCGTTCTTGACGGTTCCGAGGCTACCGGTAGTGGCGGCTCTAGCTGGGGTGGGGAGCAGCTGGGGGAATTTGAATTCGTCCATCGACTCCATTGCCGTGTGGGGCCAACGAACCACAGCGATCGCGACAAAGGACGAGTCGGAAATTTGATGGTGAAGACTCTTCCAGAATTCTTTCACACCAGCTTTCAGCTTCGAAGCGCCAGCGGGGCCAGCTCCAGTCTAGTGACTGCAAGAACCGGCACACCCTCCAGAAATGCGATGTAGATGGGGCGACAGTCACGACAGTAGAAGACAGACACCCGGGAACTGGAACGCGGGATGCGTCGTCCCCTTTTCGTGGCCGTGTCGCACTCGGGATAGGCAAACTTTGGGCCCAGCGAAACGTATTCGCTGTGAGGTTCCGGCGTCGCACTGCTTGCGCATTTACGAGGGGGCACGCATTGAACTATTGGAAAACCCGACGATGCAAACGTTGGTACCGGAAGCTTACCTGACCTTACGCAGCATCCAATTTCGATCGTACCTGAAGTTGATGAACACCATTCCATCGTTCAAGAGGAGCATCTGCATGCGAGATATGGGATGTCACCCTCCTCTACTGTGTACGTACGTACGAAAAGTCAAAATACGATGCTGGCGGCGGGACGAACGGCGAGGCGCTTGGACTTGCAGCGTTTTTCTTTTGCACGGTTCTGTGGTTTGGGTGGGGACTTCTAATTTCAATATTGCAGCCGATATTCTTCGCCGCGTCGCTGCATGGACCATCACTGTGATTCCAGAACACCGCGCGCACCGGCAGACCGGTGAGTGATCTTCCAATACTCCTGAGCACCGAGTGAGATGTCGTCAGTTCTTGGGTCGTTCGGTGAGTTGTTGATCATCAATTGGCTACGATCAGCCCGAAACGAGCACGCCGTTGTGTTCAGGTACGATCTGCTGTGCCAGTCTGTTTCTCTACGGGTTGGTGCTGGTATGGTATAATGGTTCCTGTCGGGTGGGATGAGAAGATAGATGGACGCAACCCTGCCCGAACCGTCGCACCGTCGCGTTACGACCGCGTTTGCGCCGTACAGGATCAGCGAACCAGGCTCTGCCAGATGACAGATCGTGAGGAGAACTAACTTATGCGGATCGCCGGCGCCGCAAGCTCTCGAAACTTTGCAGTTCTCCTTTCGGCTTTCATCCTAACCTAGACGAGATTGGGTTTTTGGATACGGGATGACTGAACTTTGTCAGATCTTGTCTGCCGCGTGCATTGTCTCTCGTGTCTGAACTCTCGAGAGTCGAGACGACAAATCCTCCTCTCCCGGGCCTCCCGGCACACTGCCGATTTGCAGCCTCGCACCAGACCAGGACTCTCTGGCAGTTGGCGAAGAGAAGGACTCGCTAGGAGATTAAAACGACGCCTGAGCTAGCTCTCCGGTGAACCAGGGGCAGACAGGGCAGACAGAGGTGTGAGGGTGAGCCCATCACCAATCACATCCCACATGGGACCATGGCTTCCCTGATTCGGAAGTAAGGGCGCCGGGAAGAGCGTGCGTCTCATTTTCTTGCCGAGCCCAACGTCTCTAGCCTCACATCCACCTGTCTCTGCCAATCTCCCGCGACCACAATTGACCATTCGGGTGCTGTGTTCGTCATCCGAGCATCAGACTGACCACACATCGCGGCCTGCCTAGCCGTTTTGTCAATGCCCGGCCAGCACCAGAGAGGCATGGCTCCGGGGGAGCTGCCGCTGCCAAGATCGTCCGGGTGGGCGCGAAAACCCAATTCGAAAGGTGACCTCAGGGCGCAGGCGTATGTCGCTTACAAGTTACAAGCCGCTGCTGCGCTGTGAGTTCCAGGTGAATCGTGACTTTTCTTATTCTTCGCCTCCCCCCATAGATCTCCAGTCTCTCAGCCTGTCCGACGGTTCATGCTACGCTCCACTGCATGAACGCAGAGACTGCCTGATGGCTCTTCCTTCGATAGCGGCATCTGATATCGTTTGATCTGCGTACCTGTTTACCAGCAACATACAAACCCAGTCAGTGACTGCGGCTTGCTTCAGATCCCAGTTCTTTTATTCTAGACTTCAGCCTACATCGACTACCGTCATCCACGGCCTCTTCTTTCTCGTCTCTTTGCCGCCATCGCGCGGTTTGAGAGTCACGCGCGGCAGTCACATGAACGCCCAGCCTCACAGCTAGTCGTCTAGGGCCACAAGTCGACGCCTCCTATCCTGTCAAGATCTCTAGATTTCACGTGGTGCCGTTGGATCGGAATCCTCTCGTCGAATCAAGTGGCTAGTGTTCTGGTTGTTGACGTTACCCCGCGAATGATCCCTCGTGACAAGCGCTGAAGCCATCATCCGATATAGAGTTTCGCCGACATCGACGGCTTGCTATATAGGTGGTATACCCGGGCGTGCTGCCGCATCAAGATGAGGATCTCTAGTTGGACGCACATATGGGCTCTGCTCTGCTTAGCCATGTATGTGGAAGTGGTGGTTGGGGTCCGGCTAAGGCCGCATCGAAGACAAGATGATTCACCAACTGCGACAACAGAGCTTCCGAAGACGACGATGACGACAGATGGCGAAGGAGATCATACAACCACCTCACTGGAAGTTTCAGTGACACTCAAGACCACAGCCGAATCGCCGTCTACCATCGACATTACCACCAGTGCAACGGGCGTCGTCTCGGAGACCGCAATCCCTTCCGCCATTAATGGGAACAATCCTGGCAACAGCATCGAGGTCACCAGCCGTAAGTTCTCCATATCCATGTGCTCTTAGCCGAGAGTGGCGGCTCTAACGTTAAACCCACAGCAACCATTGCAGATGGCCAATTGCCGTTAGAACCTCGACTTACACCGGGTGCGGGCGTTTCTGGCGCGATTCTTATCATTACCGGAATTGTCTACGCGCTGATCGGCATCAAAAACGGATGGCTACACACGTTCTTCTCAACGGCCTATCTCGCGAGTCTGAGTGTGACGGTCCTTATTGTGTACATTTTGGTCCCACCTATTTCAGATGCGATTCAGGGCGCATATGTTGTGGCTGCGGTTTGCACAGGACTCATCCTCGGCGGAGTTGCTACCGTCTTTAGGGAGCTTACCGAAGGCTTGGGATGCCTCCTCGGCGGCTTCTGTTTCGCCATGTGGCTGCTCACTCTCCGAGCGGGTGGGTTACTCCCTGAGACCTCTGGCAAGGTCATTCTGATCACAGTATTTACCTTGGTCGGCTTTGCGTTTTACTTCAGCCGGTACACCAGACCTTACGCCCTGATTGGCTTGACGTCTTTTGCAGGTGCAACAGTCACAGTTTTGGGCATTGACTGTTTTAGTCGAGCTGGGCTCAAGGAGTTCTGGGTGTACATATGGAACGTGAACGACCAGATATTCCCAGCTGGAGTGTACACATATCCGCTAACCAAGGGCATCCGAGTCGAGATCGCCGTTATCGTCGTACTCACTGTTGCAGGGGTAATATCTCAACTGAAGCTGTGGAGGGTTGTTCAAGAGCACCGGGCGAAGCGAGCCGAAGCGCGCGCGGAAGAGCAGAAGAAACGCGAGGAAGAAGAGGAGAACATTGGACGTCAGATCGAGGAAGACAACGCACGAGAAAGGCGCCAATGGGAAATGGTTTACGGCAACCAACCGCCGGCTAGCTCTACAGGAACCGGCGACTCGGGGGTTGGGGACATGGAGAATGAGAAGAAAAACCGAGTCAGCCATACTACGGTCCAACGAGTTTCCTCGAATGGAAGTGCGATTGAGATGGCCAATCTCCCGGCTTCGGACATGGCCACTTCTCCCGAGATACCGTCACAGACTACAAATGGCCTTATGGTTGCGAACAAAAGCAAGGACAGCAAAGTGATCATCCGAGTGTCACCAGAGGATGGAGAAGATGGGGATGACGAAGGGACTCCGATGCCCGAAGCTGATGAGAAGTTGTGGTTGGTTGGTGGCGACGGCGAAGCCCGGCCTCTATCGACACTATCAGCTCAAGATTCGCAGAGGTACTCCAGGACGTCGGCTCCTGTGATCACTCCACTTCCCTTCACAGTACCCGATATTCATGATGATGAACTGGATAGGGATGACGATCGTTCGTCATTTGCGACCTTTGCAGACGAAGATGATCGGTCTATGACCTTGGACAAGCGGGCTTCGCGAGGGTCACTGGCAAACAGGCTTTCTGTTGGATCGGGCAATCTTCTACGCAGTCTCTCCCAGCATTCCCATATTTCGCAAGTCTCGAAGCGAAAGAGTGGAGAGTTAGTCTTGCCAAAAGGGGGAGAGAGCACCGAAGACCTAGTCTCGCAGAAACGCAGACCTTCTGATGCCGAATCGATGGCTGCGACCGTCGACGGTATGAGCCTGGATGGAAGTGACCATGTTGGCCATGCTAAAGGCGGCGAGTCCCGGTGGTCGAGGGAGATCATGGCCGAGTTTGCTGACACGTCGTCGAAAGGGGAACCGACCGCCCAGTCTAAGCCCACAACCTATGGCAAGCATCTAGACGTTCGGCCTTACTCCACAGCTGAGACCATTGCGACGGACATACTGAACTCATCTACCTTGGGTGAGTCAGCCGGTAGCAAGTCGAAGCGAAGCAGTACAACGAACGGCGTTGGCAAGACGGAAGTCAGCCACGACAATGGCAACCCCACCGATACGTTAGGTACTGAGGCTCGCTCTGAAGGCTCGAAAGATCAAAAATCCGTTGCCCGCTCGGTGGCGTCAGGCAGCGGGAGTCTTACGAAGGATAGACTTCCCTCCGGACTATCCCGCGTAGCATTGTCATACCGCACCAATGAGTGGGCAAAGCACCTGAGTGTTGCAGAGGCGCCAGAACCGGAGAATATACAACTCAACGAACATCCCGAAAAGCAGAAAGTTGTGGAACAAGAGAAGGAAGCGTCAGTATCGGTTAATGTTGATGAGCTTCAACAAACGCCCGCGACCGGCATTGCGCCAACGATCAAAAGGTCTCCTTCGTCAATGTCGAACGTCCCACCAGTGGCCGCACCGGTACATCGCTCTACATCAACAACATCGCTCCAACCACCTTCCTCAAATGGTCCGTTATCGGCTCTCCAGATTCCTCCCCACGAGGCACCTAACTCCAGCGCTCGGTCGAGTCCTGTCCAGGCTGTGTCACCAAATCCTCTGTCTACGAGTCACAGCGCCCGCATGAAGGCCAGAAGGCTATCGTCAGACAAGTACATCCAACCGATTCAGGAGGAGAATGGTGTTGCTGATCTCTCTACCCGACAATCACCGCCGCTCGAGGACAGAGGTGACTCTGCACCCAGCTTGGGTCCCCCTTCGCCAGTAGGTATCGACCCACGACGTGCAAGCCGGACCTCGATTACTGGCATCGTCTCCTACTCGAGCCCACAAACCCTTCTCGGGAAGCGAGAAATGTTCCTGCGCAGCAAGTCACAGTCCATGCTCTTTGCACCACCAATACCCGAAGGCTCAGAAGTCCCACCTAGGCCTGTCAGTCAAATAGATTCGAGCCTCAGATACTCGATGTCCTCGCCTTATACTAGCCAGGACCCTGATGATCTCCCGCTGAGCCAACGCAAGGAATTGATGCGGCAGAGCAGCATGCTTTCAGTCAGATCAAATGCCGCCAACGCCGCCAACGCTCGACCAGTCAGCAGTATGAGTTTTGCGCAGGCGCCGGGTCCCAGTCCAAGTCCCAGTCCTGTGCAGCCGGTCGGGGCCGATGGTACGCATTTCAACTCGCACCAACCGCAGCGACACTCTACGCTGCCCTCGCAGCTGCAACGCGAGGCTCAAATGGCCAGCTTCCGGCAGTCCGTGGCTGCCGAGCTCCGAGCCGGCACACCAGTGGCCCCATCTGGCAACAATGGGCGCGAGACACCGCTGCAGCACTTTGGCTCGATGGCTTCCTTGGTTGGGAACATCGGGCCCCTCAACGGCAACAACGATGTCCAGCGCAGCATCGACCAGCAGCGCAACATGCTGCTGTCACAACGCGAGCAGGAGGCACAGAGGAGGGAGCTAGAGCGATGGGAGAAAGAACGGTCAGACCGCGCCTTTGAGGAAAGAATGCGCCGGGGCGATCTCGCCGGAGCACACCGCGACGCCATGCGAAAGATGCAACACAGGGTCAAAGATCGGTAGACAAGGGGATGGTATGGTTGGGAAAAGTCACGAGCATGAGGCCGTTACGAGCATAGGCATACGTACTTGGATGCCTGCTTCGACTACACATATGCACTACGCATACGCGTATGGGATTTCTTCTTCTCTTTTCCACATTGGGTCATCGGCTGGGCTAGACTGGGCTTGGGCGGTGGGAAAACTGCTCATTTGATACCCTTCATTCGTCGTCCTTTTTGGTGCGGTCCTTTTTGCATTATTACCGGCCTGCATCTACAGTCATTTTTTGCGAGTTACACGCAGCACTGCACACCTACTTGCCTCCTACACATATGCAGATACAACATACCCTTACAGCACACACGCAGACACAACTTCTGGTCGATACCGACCCCAGTTTCTTCTCTTTCCTAATAATTAATCTGTCGCTGGTTTGAAAATCCAACGCGCGGCTGTTTGTTGGCTGGTTAGTTGGCTAGTTGGCAGACGCGCACACACATGTAATGGCTTTGGGGTTACGCGCACACGCATATGATACCCTGGGTACGGGAGAGAAAGGAAAGGAAATGGAATAGAAGGAATGGGACGAGGTTGAAAGCGACTCTGAGCGAGACATGGTTTGCAGGCTGTTGCCTCATCCTTTGACCATGCAAACCACTTGGGGACTACTCTATGCTGTTTCTCAAGGAACCTAGACAGTAGACTTGCTGGTAGATAGATACTGAGACAGCGGTTGATAGTTGAACAAACACACCTACTACGTACCGACATGTATCGCGGGACCTTGCATCAGTGTGTCGCATCCCAAAGAGCAAATACTCAGTATATGCCGGCTGCCTATATACCTCTCCTCTCGCATGGGACAACCTACAGATGGGGGTAGCCTCGCATAAGGAGAGTAGTGGTGATCAACCAATCAATGGGAATCAAAGCAGAGTTTATCTGCACCACGCCAAGAGAATTGCTATTGTCAGAGTACCTAATATCCAGAGTACTCCACTTTGCAGCCGCTAGATTTGGTACTAGGTGCAGCTTAATTGCGTATGTTAAAAGTACATAGTTTAAACAGGCTATTTTTAAAACCGGTTATTTTATTAGAGTTATTAAGGAATTACATATTAATTATATAAATCTTAAGGTTTTTTTATATAAAATTCGTATTTTATAACTTATTTTATATATATTACGTACTGAAAACGTGCCGTATTCTCGTAATAATAATTAAATATATTTCTTTTATTAATAAGTTATTAATATTTAACAAATTATCGATAAAAAGGTCCGAATAAACTTTATAAGCGGTTTAAACGGGTTTTAAACGGTTTTTAAACGGTTTTTAAACGGTTTTTAAACGGTTTTAAAATATTTTAAATACTTTAAATGCTTAAATGCTTTTAATAATAATAATTTATTATTATTATTATTATTATTATTATTATTATTATTATTATTATTATTATTATTATTATTATTATTATTATTATTATTATTATTATTATTATTATTATTAATTGTTATTAATTGTTATTAATTGTTATAATACTTTTGTTTTTGTATTAAATATTTTTTGAAAAAAATATACTAATCCTATTTTAAAAAAGCTCCTTGATTTTGTTAACGCCTTACAGTTATAAAAAAGTTTTAAAAGTAAATAGATTATATTTAAAACGATTTTTAAGTTTTATCATAAACGGATTATATATAAAGAAATTAAGCTCGTTTATAACAAAGCTTATTTCGAAAACTATCCGTATTATAAGTAATAAATAAAGAAAATTTTATAATCACGTCTTTTCGTAAAAAAAATCTTTAGTATACTAAAAAAATTAAAGCGAACTTTCGATTTAAATTACCTCGTTCTTGGTGCTATGTTTATACGTATAATTATATAAGCTAAAGGATTATACTTATAATTTTAAAAGTAGCTAATGATATTATACGGAGTCGTATTATCGTTTAACCGCTCTTCTCACTAAGTTTACACTAAGTCTCCGAGATATTATAAAGTAATTATAATTTATTTGTATTTATTTTATCTAATAACTTAAATTATTGATTTCGTCGAGATTTTACTCGTTAAATATTAACTCGTTGAGCTTACTTATTATTTATTTTCTTTTGTAACATAGTTTTAAAAGTATGTTTATATTTTAGAAGTATTTATAAGCGAATATTTTTAATATTTTTATTTGCTTTAACATTTTCAATCTTTTGAAGGTTTAACAGCGCGTTATTAACTAACCGATAAATTATTATGAATAAGTCGTTTTGTAATATTATTATACTTATTGGTTAATTACTTGTTAATATTTCGGATTAAAATATTATAACAAGCTTAACGTAATTTTCAATAAATAAATAAATCCTAATTTCGCTAATTTCAGAATATAATTATACTTTATGAATAAAAGGCGTTTTAAGTGTTAAGCGTTAAATCTTAAATATAATGCGTACAAATATAACACCCGTTAAAGCTTATTACAAAACTAAAATATCTACTTTATTATAATACAGTATAGTATTTAGCTATAATTAACACTGTTAAACATACTTGAAAATAATAATAACAATTATAATAACCGCTTATACCTTTAAAGCTTATAACCCTTTTAAAATCTTATAAAAGATAATGATTTTTATAAAAAAGCATTTTTACTTTTGATTAATAAAGATTTCAAGCGCTTATTACGGTTATATTTAATCTTAAGACGCGTAAGGCTACTATCGATTTTGTTAAAGGTTGTATTTTTAAATATTCTGAAGCTATAAATCCCGATTTTTTTAATTTTTTTTTATAACCTTTATTTAAATAAAAAATAATCGACGTACCATTAACGCCGCTCTTTTTAATGTTAAAAATGAACATCGTAAAGATATATTACGTAAAAGTGATATGTTTCTAAAAATGTACGTAAAAGTAAATAAATTATAATTTTACATAAGATTATGATAATACTGCTATTATCAAGCCGAATATCTAGTCTTATATCGTTTTTTACTTATATATATATATATATATATATTGTGAAAGTTCAGTGTAAACTATCGTTCTTATTCGGTCGTGTATTATCTAGAGGCTGCATCTACCTGATGTGGACGAATTTGTATGCAAATTTGGTACCCACGCGTCCCACTAGCATAACAGCTGAGCAGTGGGGTAAACGGTCGCTAGCCGACCGTTTCTCAGTGCGCTTGGACTACCCTGAATCCCTGCGCACAGACCACCTTCATCACACATTCCCAGCCACCACATCTGACATATATATATAAATAATATCGCGCTTAACAGCTAGATTATTTTTTATTTACTACGCTGTCGTACACGCCGTCGCTAGCTAATTAATATTATTATTAGTATATCCTTTGATATTTATTTAACTTTGAATAGCTTTAAGCGCCGTAAATCAAAAGCTTTTAACCTTTAATACTATAGATAGTATTAAAATCTTCGTTAACTTTTAAAATACGTACATTATGTTATAATGCTCTTATTTATATATGTGTCAGATGTTGGATCCCAGATATAGTGCTCTTAGGTACAGTACCCGCTAAGGGGCTGCTAGGCGACCAGTGGATCCACTCTGGTATGGTGCAGTATGGTATTTAGCTGTAGATTAGCCCTGCCAAGCATACTTGAGAATGATAACAACATTTGCAGCGACCGCTCACACCCCAAAGGCTTGTGACCCTTCTAGAATCTCACAATATGATATGATAATAATTTAATAAATAATTTAATAATAAAAGCTTTAACAGTTTTATCGTTGATATTTAAACGATTACGACCGATATTACGAGTAATAAATCAGCTACCTCCCTTTTTTTTCTATATTATAAAGTCGTATGTTGTTGGAACAGGCTTGAACGATCATTCATAATACTCGAGTACTGGGTCAAGGTCATGATGTTGCTGATGGTTGGATTGGGAAGTCTAGCTGGACCTGAAGGTCTGGCTAAGTGACCTCACAATCCGGTATCTAATCTTTTATCTAATCATACATGTGGGTTCTGTATGGATGGTTTGACTGTGGAATCACATGAATCCAACATATGTAATCTTTGTCTATTCGGATAATAATTAATGAATCTATTAATAAATAATTTAAAATATCTGAACGCTTAGTAACGTTTAAACGGGCTTAAAAACTAACGGTAAAAGCTATTACCGTTAAAAAAGCTCTTTTTAAAAACGCTTTTATTAAAAACGCAGCTATTATATGCCGTAGATAATGATAAATAAAAAAGTTCATAAAAAAGTTCATAAAAAGTTACTATTGGTAAAGACTTTTGATAAAACTACTACCGAAAAAAAACTCTTTTAACAAAATTATTACTACAAAAAAATTATTTTAAAAGAACTACTACTATTAAAAACTCTTTTCATAAAGCTGATTTTATTAATAAAGCTATTGACCAAAATAATTGACGAAAAAACTAATGAAGCTACGTACGATAATATTAATAAAGTTATAAAGGTCTTACTGCCGCTTTTTAAAATAATCTCTTTTATATACAATAACTATATATAATTTTAAAAAAATAATAAACCTTTAAAACCCAAGCTATATTTAAAAGCGCGTTCTAAACGTTATAAATGAATTTAACCTTATTTATTAGATAGAAGCATATTAAAAAAAAACTTCGTTATTAATAAGCAATTTTATTTTATTTTAAAAATCTCTTTATTCGTTAATAAATAAATTGATAAACAATACTTTTAAACCAATTCATAAATAGCAAGTTAAGAAAATAAAAATAAAAATACGGTATATTAAAATACGTTACAACCGTTAAACCTTTACCTTTATAGCAGCCTTAACAAAAAAAAAGTTATAGGATTTTCTAAACTTTTTAAGCCGCTATTTATCCTTATAATTATATATATCTTTACGTTATATAAAAAGCCTTATGAACTTACTACCTTTAATAATTGCCGAACTACTTCAAAGATTTTTAATCTGTTCAAATTAAAGGTTAAAAAACGCCTTAAATCAAATGTGTTAAAACTATTACTACTACTC